AGGCTACTGCAGAAATCCTTGGAGCTGTGGGGGGAGAGAGAGGTGGCAAAAGTCTCCATCAGGGAGATGTTTTTGGAAGTGGAGGGAAGCGGGAAGTAGAAGCCAGGTGATTCCAAAGTTGGCTTGAGCCTCTGGGTGGTGGGAGGTAGCCGTGAAGCATTGAAATGGAGAGGTCGTGGGGGCTGGGGCAGGAGCCGGCCAGTCTAGGGGGACAGAGGTCAAGAGGGCAGTTTCAGACGAGCTGCCTGTACGATGCCTGGTGGCGGTTCCGGATAGACGGAAACTGTGTGACCGAAAGACAGACACGGAGGGCCCCAGGCTGACGAAAAAGAGGGGGAGATGTGAAAAAAAATGGGGAAATAAGACAGCCAAATGCTCCAAGAGAGCTGAGACTCAACACAGAAGAGCGCCCTGGCCGGGCGGCTAAGTTCATGGAACATCCTCCCATGCACCCAAGGGTCCCTGGTTCCATTTCCAGTCAAGGCACCTGCCCAGATTGTGGGTCCATCCCCGGTCAGGGCACAGAAGGAAGGCAACCGATTCGTGTTTCTGTTTCTCTCTCTCCCTTCCTCTCTCTAAAATCAATGTAAAACAATACAAAACCAAACAAAATCCAAAGAGCAGGCACATGGAGTGCAAGTCTCAGAAAGGCTCAAAGTAGACCCTCGGGGACTTGGGAGAGACATGCAGGGCCTCCTCCTCCCAGGCCGCCTCCCGTGACCCTCTCTCTCTCTCTCTCCCCCAGGCCCAGGCTCCGTGGAGAACTCAGCCCCGAGGCCTCCCGGACCCCTGGCCCTCCTCTCTGCCCTGGGCTGGCTGTGGTGGAGGATGTAGGAAGAACACAGTGCAGCTCGCCTCCCCCTGCGGGGGCCAGAGGCCGAGAGCGAGAGAAAAAGGGGGGGAGCAAGCGGCGTGGGTCTCGAAGGGGCGGAAGAGCTCTCGGCGACCGAGGAAGAAGAAAGGAGGAGGAGGAGGAGGAGGGAGAAGCAAGATCTTTAGAGAACCCATCACTGTGAGGGATAACGCAAAATTATGCATCTTTCTACAGCCATTCTCGCCACCGTTCACGTTTCTGATTGTGACCCACCCCCCGCCACTCCCACCCCTCTCTTAGCTCAGGCTGGCACCCGGATCGCATGTGGGTAGCGGGTGTGCGTGTGTGCGTGTGAGCCTGCACGTGTGTGTCCCGTATGTGTGCATGGGGCCATGGTCAAGATTTCGGGTTTTATTCTACTTCAGGGCGAGGCTGCTGGAGGCTGTTAAGCAGGGGGGTGGCATGTGGCTGACGCTTCTCTAAAGAATCACATTGACTGCTATTCCAGGAATGGGCTGGGGGAGGGGTGAAAATGGAGGCAAGGAGAGCAGACAGGAGGCTACTGCAGAAATCCTTGGAGCTGTGGGGGGAGAGAGAGGTGGCAAAAGTCTCCATCAGGGAGATGTTTTTGGAAGTGGAGGGAAGCGGGAAGTAGAAGCCAGGTGATTCCAAAGTTGGCTTGAGCCTCTGGGTGGTGGGAGGTAGCCGTGAAGCATTGAAATGGAGAGGTCGTGGGGGCTGGGGCAGGAGCCGGCCAGTCTAGGGGGACAGAGGTCAAGAGGGCAGTTTCAGACGAGCTGCCTGTACGATGCCTGGTGGCGGTTCCGGATAGACGGAAACTGTGTGACCGAAAGACAGACACGGAGGGCCCCAGGCTGACGAAAAAGAGGGGGAGATGTGAGAAAAACGGGGAAATAAGAGAGACAGCCAAATGCTCCAAGAGATACTGAGACTCAACACAGAAGAGCACCCTGGCCGGGTGGCTAAGTTGGTGAAACATCCTCCCATGCACCCAAGGGTCCCTGGTTCCATTTCCAGTCAAGGCACCTGCCCAGATTGTGGGTCCATCCCCGGTCAGGGCACAGAAGGAAGGCAACCGATTCGTGTTTCTGTTTCTCTCTCTCCCTTCCTCTCTCTAAAATCAATGTAAAACAATACAAAACCAAACAAAATCCAAAGAGCAGGCACATGGAGTGCAAGTCTCAGAAAGGCTCAAAGTAGACCCTCGGGGACTTGGGAGAGACATGCAGGGCCTCCTCCTCCCAGGCCGCCTCCCGTGACCCTCTCTCTCTCTCTCTCCCCCAGGCCCAGGCTCCGTGGAGAACTCAGCCCCGAGGCCTCCCGGACCCCTGGCCCTCCTCTCTGCCCTGGGCTGGCTGTGGTGGAGGATGTAGGAAGAACACAGTGCAGCTCGCCTCCCCCTGCGGGGGCCAGAGGCCGAGAGCGAGAGAAAAAGGGGGGGAGCAAGCGGCGTGGGTCTCGAAGGGGCGGAAGAGCTCTCGGCGACCGAGGAAGAAGAAAGGAGGAGGAGGAGGAGGAGGGAGAAGCAAGATCTTTAGAGAACCCATCACTGTGAGGGATAACGCAAAATTATGCATCTTTCTACAGCCATTCTCGCCACCGTTCACGTTTCTGATTGTGACCCACCCCCCGCCACTCCCACCCCTCTCTTAGCTCAGGCTGGCACCCGGATCGCATGTGGGTAGCGGGTGTGCGTGTGTGCGTGTGAGCCTGCACATGTGTACATGGGAGTGGGTGGGCAGGGTGGGGGAGGGGGGCTCCGACCTTCCCTCCCCGACACCCCCACGCCCACCGCCCCAACCCTGCTGCCTCTCCCCCGGGGCTGGAGGTAGGTATGGGGGCTTCGTGGCAGAAGCTGTGAGGGGAGCTCATCCTAGCCCCTGCTTTCCCAGTGTATGCACGCACACACCCCCCCTCCTCCCCGCGGAAGAGGTGTCTCCTGGACGGGTTGGCAGTGGGGAGAGGTGTCAAGCTGTCGTTCAGCCTCTGTGAGCAGGTGGGGGGTCTCCACCTGGGCTCCGGGTCCCCCTGCTGTCAACCCCCAACTGCCTGCAGCCCAGGCTCCATCGCTGGCTTGGCGGCCTGAGACCTCCCACCTTCCCCGTCCCTGGACTTTCTGGGCCCCTCCTGGGCCAACCGGTGCTTCCATCCAACTGTCAGGCTGGTGTCTGGCCACCTGTCTGTCTCAGTGCTCTGCCCGCCCCCACCCCTCGCCCCTTGGCCACCTGCAGTGCCAACCAGCTGCCCTCCGCGTCCCTGCAGCCGCCCACACCCATGGGTCTGCTGGTCTCCTCCTCCCTGGCTGCCTCTCCACCAACTGCACCTCCCAAAGGCTGACCGGACCGTGCACGTGCGTGTACACACACACACACACACACACACACACACACACACACCAGCGATGGACCAGCAATAGCCCCCTGGCTCCAGCTGAAGCCCGTGACCAGCTGTGGTTCCCCCGAGGGTGGGCAACCGTTGTCAGGAGGCGGCGCTGAGGGGCTGTAGCCTCTGGTTGTAGGAATACCCCACCCCGACATCCAGAGCCCGGACCAAGATGGAGTCACCAGCTCCGACTCCCAGGAGACCCTCTGCAAGCACCCACCCTGAGCCACACCACCCAGCGTTTGGGGGGGTTGGGGGTCGAGGACAGAGCAGGGGCAGGGGGGCAAGGGCAGTGACTGTACCTCAGACAGGGGCGTGGGCCCCATCCCACATTGTCTTCCATTC